TCATGACGCTACCTATTGTCCCAGTGGTGAGAATCTTTGTCTTCTTGATGCTGAGCTTCAGTCCATATTGAAGTCTATAGTCCTAACCTTCTACAGCAAGTGCTTCAGGTCCTCCTCAGTTTTGGCACACAAGGTTCTGTCATGTGCATAACGCAGTTTATTGAGGAGTCTTCTTCCAATTCTGATGCCACATTCTTCCTCATAAAGTCCAGCCTCCTGAATATAGATTAAGAAGTTATGGAGATAGGACATATATCTGATGCACTCCTTTCTTGATTTTAAACCATGCAGTGTTTCCTTACTTTGTTTGGACAACTGCTTCCTGTCCCAGATATAGATAGGTTTCACATGAGCACTATCAAGTATTCTGGGATTCCCAGTCTCCTCAAAGTTAGTCATAATTTGTTGTGATCCACACAGTCAAATGCCTTTGCATAGTCAATGAAACACAGACATTCCTCTGATACTCTCTGCTTTCAGCCAAGACCCAGCTGATATTGACAATAATGTCTCTAGTCTTCTAAATCCAGCTTGTATTTCTGGTAGTTCTGTCAATGTACTGTTCCAGGCTTTTCTGGATAATTTTCAGCAAGATTTTGCTTACATGTGATGATAATTTTCACACTCTGTCAGGTCATCTTTTTTGGAATGGGAACAAAAATGAATCTCTTCCTATCAGCTGGCCAGGTTGTTGTCCTCCAGATTTCTTGGTACAACCTAGTGAGTACATCCAGGACTACATCTGTTTGTTGAAATAGGCCAATTAGTATTGTGTCACACCCTGCGGCCTTGTTTTTTGCCAATTCCTTCAGAGCCACCTGAGTTTCCTCCATCACCATTTGCCTCTTGTTCATATGTTATCTCATTAAATTCTTCTGTGTCAGCCAGTCCTTTTTGGTACAGTGAATCTGTGTACTCCTTCCATCTTCTTTTAATGTTTCCACTCATCCTATCCTTGAATACGACAATTCGAGACTTAAATATGTTCTTCAGTTCTTGCAGCTTAACAAATGCCAAGTGAGTTCATCCCTTTTGATTTTCTGACTTCAATTCTTTGCTTTGTGTTCAAGAGCTGCCCTTTGAAATCTTCTATTCAGCTCCTTAACCTCCTGATTTCTTCCCTTTGCTTTGGTTTCTCTGTGCTCTAGAGCAGTATCAGTCTCTTCTCACTTGCATTTCAGTCTTCTGTGCCTCCTCTTTCTTTGTAAAGACCTTTTGCATCCTTCATGGATAATATTCTTGATATCCTCTAACAGGTTATTTGGTCTTTGTTCATTAGTTCTCAAGGTCTCAAACCTGTTCCTGAGATGGTTTTAAAATACAAATGGGATAGACTTAAGGTCAAATTTTTATTCTTGTGTATTTGACTTTCTTTAGCTTTAAATCAGTTCTTTAAAAGAAAAGAAAAGATGTTAGTCGAACTAGGCAATGGATAATGTTATTAGGTGGCCATAAGTTCACAACAACTCATAGTGACCCTATGAACAACATACTGGAAACTTGCCCTATCTTGGGGCATCCTCACAATCTCTGTCATGCTCAAGTCCACTGCTGTGGACACGGTGTCAGTCCATCTTGTTGATGGACTTACTTCTGTTCACTGAGCCTCTACTTTCCCACCACTGTGCCTTTCCCCAAGAACAGGCTCCTCCTGAAAACATGCCAAACATATGGGAGATGAAGTTTCACCATCTTTGCCTCTAAGAAACACTCTGATTGCACCTCCTCTAAGACAGATTTGTTTGTGCTTTTGGCAGCCCTTGGCATATTCGATGCTCTTCCCCGCATCACAATTCAAACTTATCAGTTCTTTGTCAGGCTTATTCATTGTCCAATCTAACATGCATAAGAAGCAATTGAAAAACTCATGGCTTGGATCAAGTCCTTCTCGGTCTTTAAACTGACACTTTGCTCTTAAGATTTTTAAAGATGTGCAGGACAGCAGATTTGCTCAGCCTGACACATCTTTCAATTTTTTTTTAAAAAACTAAAACATTTTATTTCCATATAACAAGAGCAAAAAAAAAAAATAGAAAGAAAAAGAAATCTTTTAACTGCTGCTACCAGAGGTGTTGATTGTGGATCCAAATAAAATTAAATCCTGACAATTTTAATCTTTCTTCTGTCTATCACGATGCTGCCTATCTGCCTGGTAGTGAGGATTTTTTTAATTGAGATTCTATTGTAAGTTCGTAAAGAACTTGGATTTCTATTCATTCATTGTTGCACATTTAGTAGTGAGGATTTTTGTCTTTTTGATGTTGAGAGGTAATTCATTTGGAGGTTGTAATCTTTTATATTCTTCAGTGTTTCATGTCATCATTTTCTGCAAGCAATGTTGTATCATTTGCATAACAGGTTATTATGAGTTTCCTCCAATCTTGATGCCACATTCTTCTTCATAGAGTCCAGCTTCTCAAATATAAGTATATGTGATATGACCCTAGAGAGACTAACAAAAGTTTTGAGAACTAGACTACAGGGTAGAACACTGTCCAGATATTTGTTTGGTTCCTGGATCATACGGGAAAGACATGAATAGCAAAGTCAAAGTTTTTACTTTGACTGTCAAATTTGTTGTCAGATGGTATTGAAACTATTGATGTCATTGGATTCTGTTAGATCAATCTATTTTCCCACCAATACTATAGCCAAAAAATAAAATAAAAAATACAAATGAGGATGTATACTACTGATGACATGCTGAGAAACTCATCATTGTCAAATGTGTATTGTCAAATGTGTAACTCCAGATAAAACCTAGGTTCGGATGAAACAAAAGTACAATTGACTTGAGATGCTCACATTTCATTCATCTACCAAACATTTACTAAGCCCAGGATGAAAAACAAAGATAAAGCAAAGCTAAATATTATTCTCCATATTATCACAGTCCAGAAAGAAAAACAAACTAGCTCTGTGAGACTCTTCTGAGCCACTTGACTAAATTTAAAAGCTATGATCCACTGGATTAATTAAGAATCAAGAGCCGCCATATGATTCATATTGGTGTTGGATCTCTGCAGTCCAAATGTTTCTTTGTGCCATGTTAAAATATTACGTGAAGATGGGAAAAGCAGGTGGAAAATCTTCAGAGATGTTTTGGTCGCTAGCCAGACAAATAGTTGTGCTGATTCATGGTCAACAAACAGCTCAGTATCTGGAATCAGACAAACCAAACAACAAACCAGCTGCCCATTAGTCAATTCTGACTCAGAATGACCCCATGTGTTTCCAAGTACAATTCTGAAAGTACTCCATAGGTTGTCAATTTAGGGAGCTCTGAGGGCTTAGTGGTAGGGATCGCTAAACCTAAGGCTAATGGTTTGAATCTATCACCTCTTCAGGAGAAAGACAATCTCTTCCAGTGCGATTTACAGCCTTTGAAAACCCACTGGACAGTCAGTTATGAGTTGGCTACAACTTGAATGTAATAACAACAAGGGCTTTTTTTAGAAGTACAAAACCAGGTCTTTCTTTCCAGGTAACTTTGGGTTGATTAGAACCTCCAACCTTCTTGGTGAGTAGTGGGGCACTTTATCATTTGTACCACACATGGACTCCAGAATCAAATAAGCTAGGTTCAAATCCAGACCCTACTTCTTCTTAGAGAACTTAACCACTGTGTCGTATAATGAGAATTTAGAAAACAGAAAGGTTTCATTCTGTCCTCGGATGGAGAACTCTACTACAGCGTTTTTGTGGGGACCTGGTCACCTTTAGGAGCCTGACTTAGATCTAGAGTTTGATTTGAAGACTTACCTTGTGCTTCAGCCTTACTTTAAGCCCTGGCTTTGGATTTGGCCAGGAAAGCCTTGGCAAAACAAGCCCAAGTGCATGTCTCAAACTTGGAAAGAGCAATGTAGGCAAGATGTGGTTAACATCTCTTGGCTTTTTTTTTTTTAAAATTTTGGGTCTACCCTTGTTTTCTGTTTCCTAGCAAAGAGCATGTTCCTTGGGAATTTGAGGTCTAACCCTTAAGAGATTCCTATAGTTGTGGTTGTGATTGTTCAACGCTGCCTTTTCTGTGCCATTTGGGGGTATTGTGCATGGGATGGTTCTTGGACATGGTTACATTTGCATCTGTGTCCCTCCACCACCCATGGGTCATGGTGCCAGATGCTGGGAAGTCCCAACATTTAGCCCAACTTTTAGCCTCTGTCTCAAGTTTCTTGTCTATAAAATATAACAATTAATAATAATAATAATATCATCAAAGACTGGGTGGGCTAAATATCAAAGCCTGAAGACTAATGCCCAATTGTTTTTGTGGTTGTTGTGTACAATCAGGTTTTCAGAGGCATTAAATTGCACGGGAGGAGATTTGTACGTCTTTCTCCCACAGAGCAGCTGCTTTGGCAGTACGATTCCTTGCCTCTAAGCCACCAGAGCTACCTAAGTTCCTAGCACATGGCATGTACTTAACCAGACTTATTTACTATTAGAGTTCACAGGGTAGCCTATCTTCCACTTCACAGATTATACTTTAGACAACTAGGTGATGAATCCATACTATTGGTCTGAAGAGCAATACTATAAAAATAAAAAAATACTATAAAAAATAAAAAAATAATAAGTCAATAAGTGCTGTGAGTAAGGAGTAAACAGTTTAGTCATTAAGTATAAAAGCATATACGCCAAACCATCACCACTGAGTTGACTGTGACTCATAGTGACCTTAAAAGACAGAGGAGAATGGCTCATAGGATTTCTGAAGCTGTAAATCTTTACAAACGCAGACTGCCACACGTAATTGTTTTCTGGAATGGATGGTGGATTTGGACTAAAAACCAACTGTAATGAGCCAAGCACTTATCTACTGTGCCACCAGGGTTCTTTGCATATATGTGTATTCAAAAGACCATTCTAAAAGGAAAATTGCATGTGTGCACATGTGTAGAGAAGAAAAGCCAGCTGATGTGTTTAGCTATCCCTGTCTTAGCCATAAAACCCACATTGCCCACCTGCCAACCATTTCTACACAAGGAAGCTGAGCTTACCTTCTCAGCAACATCCGCCCTGGCCTTGCGATTAAGCAAGAAATCCACTGCAGATAAATTATTCCTCCCCACTGCAAAGTACAGGGCTGTCTGGTTCATCTAAGGAAACATAATTTCTGTTTAGTATGACAGACTCTGGCAGTCATCGGGTCACTGCTGGGCCTTTTAAGGATTCCTATTCTTTGAATAAGCAGCCTTGTTGGTGTACTGGTTAACTGCTCAGGTGTTAACCGAAAAGTTGGAAGTTCAAACCCACCAGCTGCTCCTCAAGAGAAAGCAGTGGCTGCCTGCTTTTGTGAAGTAACAGCTTGGATAGCCTCTGTGTTTTCTTGTTATGAGCCCTTGAGTCAGAACCCTCCAGCAGGTTTCCAGAGGTAGTAGAGTTCCCGTCTTTCTCTAACAGAGCAACTAGTAGATTCAAATAGCATGCCTTTGGGTTGGCAGTGTGAGTTCTTATCGGTATTCTATTCTGTCCTAAGCAGCAACTGCCTTTGGTTACATGAATGGCCGTAATTTTATTTCCCAGGTGTTTTTCTTTTTTATTATTTAGCTCTAGTCTTTGCACCTGCCTGCAAGTAATGATATTTGTGTCAGGCATGATTCTGCCTTCACCAATCATCAGATAACATCAGAGAATGTTGAAATCCACTGGAGGATTAGCCTCATGTTGAAATGCATTACATAACCTGTCAGTGTAGTAATTTAATGGATTTCATTAGAGAGCACAAGTTACACTTTTACCTGATTATTAATGATGGTACATATTTTCCTGCTCAGAGTATACATACAGATGATGCAGAACAATAATTTTCTTAAATGTTCAGTGTATTCGTGGACATTTCTGCAATTCTTTTGAACTGTAAATCTTAGTGAAACAAATTAATTTCTTTCAAAAGAAAAAGACAGAAAAATAGAGAAGGCTATAGAGCTATATATTTGACTTTAAGGAAAAGCCAAGATAGTGCTCTTGGGATGTCAAGAAAGAGGCTAATGTGTTTCTGACAATGGAAATACTGTTTCTAAGTAGTACCCATGTCTTATTTTTTTTCCATATTCTAGACAGCTTTTGCTCCTAAAGATGCTTGGGCAGGGATTACTACTCTTTGTTCCTTATAAATAATATATCACAAAAATACAAGAACTGTTAAAAAAAACATGTTATATCATTGATAGCTAAACTAGAGAGAAACTAAGCTTGAAAAGCATAAGCCACCTATGCATTGTCTGTAGCCTTGAATTTTGCCCTTTTATGTCAGATTTGGGCTTAGAGGTAAGCTGTGCTGAAATCCCAAAGACACACAGTTTGAATCCACTAGCAGCTCCACAGGAGAAGGATGGTCAATCTTCCCCCACCCCACCCCATGCAGTTTACTGCCTCTGGAAACCTCCTGGAAGGTCAGCTATGGATCAGTTCCAACACGACAGCACACAACAACAAGAAGATCCTCTTTTAGCTTGTTTTAATATTTTGTTTACTTCATTGCACTTTTTCCTTTTATTTCTTTTCTTGTTGTGTACCATTGAATTGGATCGGACTGGCACTGGAAGAGATTGCCCCTCCTTCTCCTGCAGAGCCTCTGGTGGATTTGCGCCTTTGGGATTGCAGTGCAGCTTCTTTGCCACTAGGCCACCGGAGCTCCCTTCTTTTAGCTTTATTTTTGAGTAAAGATGCAGGTCAAAGCAGTATATAAGTTATTATTGTTAGGTGCCATTGAGTCGGCTAAGACTCATAGTAACCCTATGAAGGATGAATCTTAACCCTGCTCTATCTTGTGCTAGCGTCACGATCTCAGATATATTTCAGCCCACTGTAAATAGTCACTGTGTCAATCCACATTGTTGATGGTCTTCCTCTCTTCCGCTGGCTCTCCACCTTTCCAAGCATAATATCTTTTCCCAAGGACTATGCCCTCCTAACAACATGTTCAACAATGTGAGATGAAGTTTCACCACACTTGCCTATAATAAGGCTGTTTGCATTTTCTTCCATCTCTCTCTTCAGAGAGTTTAACGTGAAAATATGGTGAAACATCACAAATTTATCTGTAATTTTTAAAAAATTTTTTATAACAGCATATTGGAAGATTATTAAAAAATGGCTAGGAGAACACATAGATAGGGAACTGCCAGAAATTCCAGCAGGATTTAGGAGACACCTTGGCAACAGGAATATCATTGCTGATGTCAATTGGATTTCTGCTAAAAGTAAAGAACACAAAAAAGTGTCTATGCTTTCTTGACTATACAAAGGCATTTGACTGTGTAGATCATAACAAGTCATGGCTAACATTGCAAAGAATGGAAATTGCAGAGCACTTGATTGTGCTCATGTTAAACCTATACCTAGAAACATTTGTGTATAAAGAGCAAAGGAATATTTTTGTTGTTGTTAAATGCCATCGAGTTGCCTGCAACTCATAACGACCCTATGTACAACAGCCCTAAACCCTGCTCTGTCCTGTGCCAGTCTCACTGTCTCCAACACACCTACCCTGACTACCCCAGTCACTGTATCTATCCACCTCACAGAGGTTCTTCCTCTCCTGTGCTGTCCCTCTAGCCTCCCAACCATGACGTCCTTCTCCAAGGGCTGGTCCCTCCTTGCAACATGTCCAAAGTATATCAGACAAAGCTTCAGAATCCTTGCCTACAAGGAACAGCCTGGCTTAATCTTCTCTAGGATGAATGTGTTCACTTTCTTAGCAGTCCATGGTACATTTAAAACTCTTCTCCAACACCATAGCTCAAAGGCATCAATTCCCCGTCTATCATCCTAGTCATTGTCCAGCTCTCTGATGTATAGCAAGTGATTGAAAAGACGATGGAATGTATCAAGTGCACCTTAGTCTCCAGAGTGACATCATTGCTCTTCATTACTTTGGAGAGTTCTCTAACAGCAGACTTTCCCCTCACAATATGTCTTTTGATTTCCTGGCTGCTGGTGCCAAGAGTGTTGACTATGGAACCAAGCAAAGTAAATTTGTTAACAGTCTCAATCTCTTCACCATCCATCATGATACTGTCAATTCGCCTAGTAATGGAATCTTTGTCTTCTTGATATTTAGCCTCAATCCATATGTCCTTGACTTTCTGAAGCAAGCACTTCAGGTCCTCCTCAGTTTCAGCAAGGAGCATTGTGTAATCTGTGTAACACAGATTGTTGATGAATCTTCCACCAATCCTGATGCCGCATTTCTCCTCATAGAGCCCAGCCTCCCGCATAATCTGTTCTGCATATAGATTGAAAAGTTATGGGGATAGGACACATCTCTGGCATACACCCTTCCCAATTTTGAACCATGCAGTGTTTCCTTGCTCTGTTCTGACAACTGCCTCCTGGTCCTAGTATAGGTTTCGCATTAGCATGACCAAGTATTCTCTGAGATTCCCATTCCCATAGAGTTAGCAACAGTTTGTTGTGATCCACACAGTCAAACACCTTTGCATAATCAATGAAACACACATAGACATTCCTTTGGTATTCCCTGCTTTCGGCCAAGATCCATCTAACATTAGCTACAATATCCCTAGCACCATTACCCCTTCTAAATCCAGCCTGCACTTCTGGCAGTTCTCTGTTGATGTGCTGTTCCAGTCATGTTTGGATAATCTTCAGCAGAATCTTCCTTGCATGCAGTATTAATGACATGGTTTAAAATTAAGAAGGCAGTGTGTCAGGGTTGTATTCTTTCTTCGTACCTATTCACTCCATTTGACTGCTAAGAAAACAAACAGGTCCATCCTGGAGAGGGTTAAACTGCGCTGCTCCTTGGAGGTAAGGATTCTGAGGCTTCGTCTGACATACCTTCGACATGTTACAAGGAGGGACCTGCCTTGGAGAGGAACCTCATGCTTGGGAGGGTGGAAATACAGCACAGGAAGGGAAGGCCCTCTCTGAGGTGGATTCAGTGACTGGGGTAATTGAGATGGGTGTGTCGGAGACAATGAGACTGGCACAGGATAGAGCAGGGTTTAGGGCTGTTGTACATAGGGTAGCTATGAGTCGCAAGCACCTCTATGGCACATAATAAAAACAACAACATTCATTCTGTATGCTGAGAAAATTATTTGAGAAGCTGGATTCTATGAAGAGGCATGATGCATCAGGATCAGAGGAAGCCTCATCAATAACCTGCACTATGCAGATGACACAATCATGCTTAGTGGAAATGAGGAGAACTTGAAGTACTTGTTGCAGAGATCAAAGAATAGAGCATTCAATATGATTGCATCTCAACATCAAGAAAACAAAAATTCTTACCACTGGACCTATACGATATATGAAGGCAAAATTGAACAACTTGATCTTGCTTGGATCCACAATCAATACTCTTGATACCAGCAGTTGGGAAATTAGGAGATATATTGCACTGAGAACGTCTGCAGTTAGGGACCTTTTCAAATTATTGAGGAACAATAATGTCAGGGTTGTAGTCTGTCTTCATACTTATTTACTCTGTATTTGAGGTTTGAGGACCAGTGTGTGTGATTCAGGTCATGGTCTTTCTGATCACTTGTTATGCTGAGAGCTGACCAATGAATAAGTATGGTAGAAGAAGAATTGATGCCTTTGAACTGTGGTGTTGGAGAAGAGCACTGAACATCCATGGACAGCCAAAAGAGCAAACAAGCATGTCTGGAGATAGTGTAGCCAGAGTGCTCCTTGGAGGCAAAGAAGATAAATATTTACCTCACATACTTCAGTCATGTTACTAAAGAGAGACTACTCTTTGGAGTGGGAATGATGCTTGGAAAGGTCAATGAAGGAGGAAGACCCTCAACCAAGTAGACACCAAAACAACAACTGCAATGGGCTCTAACATGTAAGGAAGTGTGAGGATAGTAGTGGACAGGACAGGGTTCAGATCTGTTGTTCAAACAGTTGCTAAGGGTCACACTCAACATTACCTAACAACAACAAATTAAAAATCTAATTCCTGCCACTTAGAAGAGTGAAACAGATGAGAGAGAGAACTATTTAAAAGGTATATGTGATTAGGTATTATTGTCATGACAGGAGTACAGAATGAAGGCTGCATAGTGGAGTGGACTTGGGATGAGGAATTGTAAAACAATTAAAGAATTTTTTTTTTACTTTT